TATAATTGAGATTGGGACAAGTGCAGATAATGATATCCTTGGGAAGTGCCTACAGAAGATGGGCTTCATTTTCATGTGTTAATATTTGACATACAGTATCTTCAAAATGATTAGTGACCTGCAAACCTCCCAGGCCCTGCCACAAAGGCTCTTGGGTTAGTCCTGCTAAATGTCCAGTTCTATTACTGATCGTCGCGTTAAAAAGCTAGCCAACTAACGTTAAACAATGATTCTGCAAGTGGTGGAGCAATAGGTCCAAAACATGTTTAAATGTAAAAGTCCTTACCAACAAACAGCTATTAATGTCTGCATTTCAGCTACCAATCTACTTACATTTCTTGGTTGTCTGACAACATTACATTGCGAATTTATCCACCGAGTTCATTTTATTCACACCGTCTTCACCATCATGTGACATAGTGAATCAGAACGCGAGTAACATAGTGCATTTAAAAAACCATGGCCTAGGGTATTCAGAGCATACAAAAACAGGCCATAAACTTTGACCCTTGCCTTTCTAAGTTCATCTCACACACTGCCCTAATTTCAGGTGCCAGCTCGTAATGAAATCTGACAGTTTGCTCTCAGCAAAACGAAAGTACAAAAGTGTGAAAATTATTTTCCAGGATGATGTAGTGTTTTTCCAGCACATGTTATAATTTATCACAAATTCCGTGACTGGAAAACTGGTGCAGGATTTCCAGGACACATGGGAACTCTGCTTCACCTTAAAAGTACTCTATAAATTAGAGTAATTACCCTGTGTGATAGAAGGTAAATGACAGGACTGTGCAGCAAATGACAATGTGACCTTTGAACTGAGCAGTCAGCCTTTGAACCATCACTCATACTGAATCTCAGACAAACTCTTGTGTCTGTGTCTTAGAGAAGGTGAAAACATTCAGCGAAAAATCAGGAAATGTTCTGGGACAAGGGTAGTCTACTCACACACAGAGCCTTTGTTTCAGCTCCAGCATCTCAGTCTGCATATTTAACATTACAGACAAACACAGAAAAGCTTCTGAGCCTCTTCAGTGACCCGACTGGAATCTGTGGCTCTCACTTTGCCACAAACATCCAAAACATCCCCTGTGTTTATTGTCAGCTTATCGCAGTTTAATTGCATGCTTTCTGAATCACTACTGTCCTTCTTGCACTGAGATTCTTACTTTGTAGTACTGGTATTTTTAAACATTGTATTTACTTTTCCTTTGTCTCGTCTATTCTTCGCTCTACCTGAAAACCAGCCTGACATGTCAGCAGGCTGATATCACCGGCCAGTATCTCAGATGTCACCATAAACCTTAGACAGGAAAAGAATTGTTAAAGTAGATGTTTTGACCTACAGACACCTGATCCTAATACTATAGCTGGTACTGAAAATACTGCAACTGTTACTACAAATCATACTACTGGAAAAATTCAACTAATACTAGTAGTCATGCTGCTGCTACTAAACTCAGTATTATTATGAAAACTTACTACTACAACTCCGTGCAACAGTTCTAACTATAACTCGTAAAACCTACTAGTACGACTACTACTACTACTGTTACAGGTGAGCCTGCTATACTAACCGTTACCACTACACCTGTGGTGCAACATTTGAACATCATCATGTGACATGACTACTGAGAGAGGCCAATCACAGGGGTGCAGAGGTGATTTAGGCCCACCTACTCCAGGCTGCTGTGGAACAGGGTGAGAGTGCAGCGCTTCCTGCCAGTGTTCAGAGTGACGATGAGTCAGCTATGAGGGGGTGGTGGGGGGTTTCTGTTCACACTGAGTCACCTCTCAAGACTCCAGTTTGTCAGTGTGTCCCTTCCACACACTCTCTCTCTCTCTCTCACACACACACAGACAGGTGGGATACATTACACAAAAATATATACACAGGGATGACAAATCAAAGTGTGACCATGTTTCACACATGTACACGATGGCGACATCTGAAAGCAAGAAGAGGTGAGCCCTTTTGTTTGTTGCATTTGGCAAAGCACGATAAAGTCAAAAGAACACTGTGTGCAACCACACGAACAGGAAATCAACAGTACATACACACAGTTGTCAGTTCATTAGGTACACCCAGCTTTAACTAAGCACCAACACTACACTCAGCCTTTGTCAGATGCATCCTTTGTATAACGCAACACATGCCACGTTCAGCTGCCTAAAGGACTCTGAAACTCCAGGTGGGAATTTGTTATTAATGTTAGCATGCACAGCTTTAAAAGGCCGTTGTTTAAAACACAGAGCGCGTCTTCTGGCACAGCGAGCGCACACAAGAACAAACTCACCTGTTCAGTGTTTATTTTCCATGACCCTCTTTCTGTTTGCACCTGTTCTCCCTTGCACTCATCTGTCCATTCTCTTCCTCTTCACCTGTGTGCGACACTTGACATGGTTCACCCTGTGCTGCGGCTGGCTGTCCTTTCCCAAGCTGCTGTTTTATCATAAAATGATCCATAATTTGACCACTCATGTGACTGCAGTCTTCACACAACTGAAGTACATAACAACAACGTGCTGCCCCCAACTGGGAGGGGGTTCCTACAGGGCCCTAAAGACTTCCAACTGACCACTGGATTCTCTTGAGTCAAAACACAAAAGCTCCTCAACAAACAAGAGAATCTTCTAATAAGACTCCCAGAAACCTCGGCACCCTAAAGGACTCCACAGAACCTCCTGGAGAATTCCTAACAAAGGATTTCCTTCTGTAGGTCAGTTTGGCAAACTGGCTGAGCACACTTTGACTTGTATGGACGAGCAGAGACCGTCTTTTCTAACAGGTGGGAACAGTTTTGATGGAGACCTGCATCCTGTTTTAACACCTGCAGTCTCACCTGCTGGGAGACTCCGCTATCAGATGGACTTTGGACTCTTCTACACTCCACTCCTCAGTTTTCTAACAACTGAGGTTGCGGTACCACACACCTGTCCTCAGTTTGACAGAACACATACAGACCCTGGGAAAATGGTGGACTGTAGGACAAGCCTTTAGTCTTTCATGAGGAACAGAAGTATGCACACAAAACTAGTTAAAGCACAATTAACTAATAAAAACTGTATGCATGTACTATTTGAAATACTGGTATATTAGCTGGGATGTTTTCATTTTGTGAGACTTTTACTTCAATATATTTATCTCAACTTCAGCTACCAGCAGGAGCGGATCAAGAGAATTTTGGATGGGGTGGCCAGGCTGGGGGACAGACTCAGAGTGGTGGCACATTTAAAATACATGTAAAAAGTAAATTAAACCCCTAGTTCTATATTATAAAGCATACATTATTAAGAGTCAGATTTTTTTTTTTTTTAAGCCAACTTTGGCTGTGCTCCTGATTTACCCCTGACCACCCTCTTGCTTCTGCCCATGGCTACCAGCTAGTCTCCCTCTTGCTTCCGCCCATGGCTACCAGCTAGTCTGCATAAGATTTGCTCTTTAAACACAAGCTTTGAAAAACAAATGAGGTGTATTGTAACCGAGTCTGACTTGCAGAACTAAAAACAAATCATTACCGACTGTAAACAAACCTTAAACAGCACAAGGAAATGTTAATTACCAACATTTAACTGTTGTCTACTGTAGAGGTAAAATGATTAGTGGGCAGAGTAGTCAACTGACAGAAGGATACTGAGTAAATATTTTGATAATCAAGTAATCGTTCAAACAACAACAGTGAAAAAATGCCAAATGTTCTGATTCCAGGCTCTTAGATAAGTGGATTTTCTGCTTTTTGTGACCATACATCATTGCAAACTGAATATTTTGAGGTATTTAGACTTTTGGTTGAATGTCAAAGATGCTGCTTCCAGTGCTGCAATGATGTGATGCACACTTTTCAATTCACAAAGTGGCTCATGTAAATGTTTGGACTCTTCATTCACTAAGTTAAATGATCAAGTGAATGTTCATTTTCTGTAAATCAGCTAATTGTTTGGCTGAACAACTGCTTCAAAATACTGTAATAAATAAAGCAAAAGGGAAATCAGGTCAAAGGTCAGGATCTAGAGCTGGTTCGGACTTTGCTTAAGGACACTTAGCCCAGCCAGCTTGTGTGTTAAAGCAACCACACAAAACACTGCTTCCTCTGTCAGTCACTGGGGATGCACTGTGCACAGACGCCGAGCAGTGATTTCACCTGTTTCAGTCATGAGCCACTTAGATTAAACAGCCTGCAGGATTTCACTACTTCAGAAGCAGCGATCAGTGTGACCAGCTCTGATTAACAAATGCACATCTGATGGCAGACATTCCGACTACACTGTAAGCCTTCCGAAAAGGACGCCGACTGTCGTGAGACAAACCAAGGTGATCACACTGTGAGACACGTCCTCTGATGGCTGACTTAGAGCTACAGCTACGATAGGGAGTGACAAAGATGTTGAACAGGGCATTTTTGAATAAAGTTTAGAAGAAAAAAAAAAACACACACACAAACCTAATGATGGGGAAAAAGCTTGTGATTCTGTCAAAAAAGAAAATGGCACAGATGGATAAGACGAGGCGAGGCAGTAAAGTGTCTACTGTCGTTAGGGGTGTGACAATACACTCAGCTCACAAGACGATACCCAACTTTGGGTTCACAAGAACAAGATGATATTTTAGCACAATTTTTAAGAAATCTTAAATGCTGAAACATACGACTGTAAAAAATGATGTATTTGACAGATAGCCAGAAAATGCAAAATAACGCAGGTGAATTTTGAAATGTTTGTTGTCAGAGATGGTGCAGTACTGTGGTTATAACTGTGGTACTTCTCCTTTGAATAACTCTGTGCTGTCATGGCCAAAGCTGCAAATCACTGAGCAGGACAGGTTCATGGCAAAAACTCTTATGTGCATCAGTGTGATGAACTGTACTCTGGACTCCTATCTGGTTGTTTTAGTCTTCAACAATGACTTCACAGGTTTACCAGAAAATGTATTATTTCAATAATAAATACATTTCATTAGCAAATATATTATGGTGTATAAAGAAACACTCGAAGAAAGAAGTAGACATGAATTCAATTTAATCAGTATAAATGTATCAAGTTTGCAAGAATTATGTGTTGTATGTTTTATTAATGATAAGATTTTTAAAACTCTACAACTGTGGTAATGCAAATTATCCATATTAACACACAAGAAGTGCAAAGTTCCTTTACATTTATATATTAAAGCTGCAAAAATTAAGTTGATTAATAGTCAATTGACAGCAACAATTTTGATAATCACATTATCATTTCAGTTATTCTGGAAGCAAAACTGCATAACACTAGCTAGGTCCATCTTCTCTAACGTGAAGATCTGATGATTTTCTTTCAACTACAGGATAGCTGACTGGATATATTTTGAATTTTGGATGCTGGTGGGACAAAACAAGATGTATGAAGATGTCACCTTGGGCTGTGCAAAATTATAACCTGTATTTTTTACTGTTTTATGACATTTTTACCAAAAAAACAAAACAAAAACAAATTAATTCAATAATCAAGAGACTAAGCAGCACATTAAATTGATATTGAAAATAATTACTAGGAGTATGTTCAGTTTTTATTGAACCCGTGAGTTGGTGAGTTTGTGCTACTGTTGCATTGTATTGTACTGAGGAGTTTCTAATATTAGATCATGTATATTACCTGAAAAACACTTGTGCTAGTTTCTCTTCTGCATTGTAAACTAATACATATGCAGCGAACCTGGCCTTGAAAAGACCATGTTCAATAATAAGAGTCAACTATTTAAGCTCTAGCTGGATGTTGCTGATGTACTGGTGAAGTTACTCAGGGGTAAGCCAAGTGACCAGGGCTGCTGATTCCAGTTATTTTTAATCATCAATTCATCTCCTATATATTCATAACATCAATTGTTTGAGCTATAAAATGTAAGAAAAAAAGTGTAAATGTTCCTTCTCAGTTCCCTAGAGTCCAGGAGGACAGGATGACTACTTTTCTGTCTCACAGAAGAGAAAGAAAATGCACACAATTTGGAAGCTAGGGCAGTGATGGTGATGATTATCATTATTAGTGCTTACAATTATTCTAACAATTAAGTGTCTTAAAATCATTTCTAAGTATTTTTCTGCTGATTAATCGACTAATCTTTTCAGTTCTGGCAGGGACTCTTCACTATCTGACCAACATTACATAAAATGTTGCTTTTGAAATTCACATATATACCGTATTATAGCCATTCGTGAAGCACTTTGAATGGCATGAACCTGTATGAAAGTAGTAGTGTACAAATAACGTTTGGACTATTTGAATAAAGCATTCTGACCACAACCTGACAGTTTGAGAGTGAATTAAAGCACCACTGGCTCTCACTCTTGGTTGCTTCACCTGCCTGTAGGGTGTTGTGCCCTGACATCCAGCCTAAGTACCGCCTGTGTCCAGTGCTCACTCACCGCTATCAGTGTGCTGTTCCGGCTCTGTTCCGACACCGATCCTCCACTCTCCGCGAGTTCCGCGCTGCTGCCGCCCGGCGCTCTCTGGCTCGCCTGGTCGCCGCTGGGCTGGGGCTGCCGGTGCTTGTTGGACCGCTTGGCTTTGGCCTGCAGGCACCGCTGGTGCAGGGCGATGGTCTGCTGCTGCTCCAGCTCCAGTCGCTCCAGCGTCGCGTTTTCGTAGCGGTTCTCGCAGCTGTTGTGATGCTGCCGGAAGAGCTCGATCCTCCGGCGGAGCCTCTCCATCACCGCGCTGTGTCGCGGTGTAACAAAATCCGCCATCATCAATAAAGACTTGTAGTAAACTCCCGGATCAGGTTTCGTCCATAAACTGCTGAATCTGGCTCTTTCTCACTCTGGGCGTCTATACACCCCCCCTCGCCCTTTACAAAGACTCCTGTGCTGGCTCCATGGAGGCGACCTTTGTCTTGCTAATGGCCTTCAGTCACAGCGGCACTCACTGCCGGAGAGGAAAATTAAGGTTTTTGTGTGCAATACCATCCAGCCTCCTGATTTTACAGACTTATACCCAAATATATACTATGAACCTCATTATTTACAACAGCTCATTTAAGTCGCTGTGTAAAGCATTGCTCCTGGAGTCCTGATAGAGCCACATTCCGCCTGAGTTTAACCGCAAATCAGAGACAAACCACTGATTTATCCCGGTGGTATCAAAACAAATCAAAGTCTGGTGCTTTTTTTTTTTTTACAGTCCCTTTAAATAATTTACACGACATTTAAGTTTCAACCAATGAAACACTGCTCTGTCGCCATAAAACTAACTCCCGTAGGGCAAGTTTAAGTTAGCACATTCCTCCACTCAAAATCAAAGTTGGAGGATTGAAAATTCCTTAAAAACTATCTTAACTGCTGCTAAAATCAGTTTGCCTCGAAGCTAGCTGGCGTTAGCTTCTGGCTTTACTGATATTTATTTGTTAACAACAATGTTTTACTTCTTGAGATCCACATAACAGATTTCTAACTTGTGTGAAACTTTATTTTGCTTAAGTATTAAGAGTTAGCTTGGGTAGTTAGCTAGCAGGGAGCTAGCTGGCTAGCTCTGGGCTTCTTAACAAACTTGACAGCTTTTCAGCTAATAAAACATTATTTTATCCAAGACAGCAGTTTCATACACGAGGAAACAAAAGAGAAACGTTCGCAGACAGTTATAGCCTGGGTTACGATTTTAAATTCACTTACTGTTCAAGTGTAGCTGTCCGCTCTTC